TCTTTTACTGAAATGTGCGGAGATTGACAGGGGCTAAGACTGGCAGGAGTGCTCCGCACTTGAGGAAGGAGATTCAGGTTTCATTGTTATGAGCAGCTCTGTCAGCCGCAGGAAATGGTCCTGTTCTGTGGAAGGATTCCTTCTCAGTGGCAGCAGAAGGAAGGGCCAAGATCTGTGCAGTATAATGATCATGAAGATCGCTTTTCCTGTCCTTAGTAGTCATTGGTGGGAGTATAAATGTAGTACGAAAGCACGTGGCAAGATCTTATACCGGCAGAGGTTTCTGTGAATGCTTTGAGAAGACTGTGCGAACAGAAGACTGTGACCCTGCAACGTCCCTTAGGGACACTGATCTGTGTGCCTAAGGTCCGTGCTTGTGTTCATTTATTTAAAAATCAAGAACGAAGAGTAAATAGGTATGTGCAGCTATATAGCAGAGGCGCCAAGTTCATACACATTAAATTCCACGCATTTGCATGTGTAGGTTAAGTAGAAGGGAATATGTATATATACTTTGTGTATATATATTTATTCTGTCTACCATGTCTCAGGGAAAAGAACGTAAGACCAAACTTACTGTTTTAGCAAATGTATTGATGTACCTATATCTTCCCTAATATCAGTAATTTAAACTGAGAGCTTTGATACTGCTGTAAAAAAGAGAAAGAAACCCAAACAAATCAGATGCTCAGACATCGATGTCTGAGAACAAGCATACTATCAGATGTTTCAATTCAAATACAGCTGGCAGGCTATTAGATTTGATAAACTCTGTGTTTCTGTTGATTAAGGTCTCTCCAGTGACAAGGTTGAAATGGGAAGGAATTGCAAAATAGTCACTGAGGTGGTGCAGAATGGAAATGACTTCACCTGGATACAGCATTTCCCAGGAGGCCGCACGACCACCAACATATTCACCATTGGCAAGGAAGCAGAGATGGAGACAATGGGTGGCAAGAAATTCCAGGTAACTAATTTAGCTCTTAAGTTCTATGCTGTCTCAGTTGATTTTTGATTTAGGGTGAAATTCAAATCTGTCTCAAGGACATCTTCCTTAAATTGATTCTTTCGTCTGTCATAGCTTAGAAACATAATTTTTTTCCCCTCATTTCTTGATGCCTCTAGCAACATATCTAAATCTGATTTTAAAGAGAGCTAGAGCTTCAGAACTGTGCGTACTAGTAAAGAACGAGGGTAGAGTGTCAAGCATCTACTGGTGTCGCAGCTCAAGCAAACATAGTGCTCGTTAAAACTCTCAAGAGCTGGCTGGCCGTAGTGTCATTGTCCAGCAGCGACAGCAACTGCAGCACGCTCCGAGGGGAGTGCTGCGATCCCCAGCTCTGCCCACGCCTGTCACCGCTCACCTTTTGAAGCCACCTGTGCCTCGGCCAACAAAAGACTGTGCTAAGTGAAGAGGGGTAAAACAAATCTCTGTATCCTCCTTCTTGTTGGAAGTACAGAACAACTTGCAACTTAAGCAGCCTCTAGTGAGAAGGAAGATTACACAACATCGATCTGTTCCTGTCATGGACAAAACCGGGATACAAAAGCTGCTGTAAAATGGTTGCTCTACTTACCTTACTCATTTCTCGTCTATTCAAAGGGATTAGACAGTTTGGGACAGCTAAACTCTGCATTTGTGAGGAGTCCTGAACCCTGCAGTAGGTTACTGGATAAATGCTTTAGACATCCTGAAGAGACAGGAACACCAGCAATTGCACCAGGGAGCTGTGACAAACTGAAAACAGCGATCGCAGTGCGTGATTTCCAGAATGCTTTTGCAGTCGTACCTTTCTGATTATGAGAGGAAAAAACCCACATCTTTGGCTTTGAGAAATCGTTGTGAAACGTAACGGATAGAATAATACACAGTTCTACTTAGTCAGTTTATTGCAAACGTCACAATTTTGAAATATTACAAATTCCATTGTCTTCTTTTTTGGTCCTGGGCACTTCCGCAGCCCAAAGCCTATGAAGCAGCCGAAGATGGAGGCAGAGTAAGTGACTCTCGGTAGAGAAGCTGCTGCCTTTTAGTATAGGGTCACTAAAGAATACCTAAACGAGTAAGATGGTTTCCTTGCATCTGGTAAAAAATGTGCACTCTTCTCTTCATTTTGGAAATTACTTTTTTCTCCTCTAAGTAGGACTGGCTTACCTGTTACTAAAAGCATAGGCGAGACTGACCAGTTACACAGACCAGGCTGGTTTTGTGACGGAACGGCTCACCCAGCTGTGGCAGCCAGCTGAGCTGCGGTAGTATTTGTGATCTGCACAGCAGCATCCTGGCACGCTGCTTCCGCACAGAAGCCGCAGGCACCGCAGGTGGCACGCGTTGTAGCACGGAGGGGTGGCTGCAGACACTGCAGTCACGGTCACCTGCACTTAACTGAGCGAGGCGAATCCTAACGTAGCTAGAGGTGTGGAACTCGGGGTCTGGGGTAAAGATCCACATCGCCTGTCCGCAGTGACCTGTGCGCTGCTTGCAGGCAGGTTATTAGTTTCCAAGAATGCTACTTCAAAATCAGTTCATACAATCAAGCCTTTTACTTCCCTGTCAAAACAAGAGAACCACATAAATCACTGAGGACTGAATGAGAAGCATAATCTGTAGCCAGATCATTTTTAGAGCTATGAATTAATATTGTGTAGATATGGAACTTTCATGTATTGCTAGACAAATCTTTTTCTGTTTAAACTGTGAGCACTTAAAAAGTAAAGCACAAGAGTGTTAGTCTTGTTCGTGAAGCTGCGTGTGTACTCTTTTAAAAGTAAGACCTTTAAGCATCAGGTGCACAGACGTTTGCAGTGTATCTGATGATATAAATGCCAGTCACTCCAGGGAACATTAAACCTTGCTCTCTTACAGGCAACTGTTAAAATGGAAGACGGGAAAATAGTAGCTGATTTTCCCAACTATCGTCATACTTCAGAGATTTGTGGAGGAAAGCTAGTAGAGGTAAGTTCTCAGATATCCAGGTTCGTTTATAAAAAAAAAAAAACAAAAAAAACCAACCCAAAACCAAACAAAAAAAAACCCTCAAGAGCAGCAGGCTTAAAATTTTGAGGTTCAGAAAAAATCTTGAGATAAAGTAAAGCAGAACTATTAAACAGCTTTCTCCTTTGCTCTAGGTTATCTTCTACGATTTTGTGCAGATTTAATCCAAAAATTAAAAGAACAAACTTTTTGTCATGTATTTTTGATAAACTTGAAAGGTAGATGTTGCATCCTAGGCACAGACGCACAGTTTTATAGCTGTAAGACTGGAATGTTCAGACAGAAATGTTCCCAAGCTGCCACGTCTTTGACTGTATTCACTGTGCCTGTGCCTCAAAAACAGTAAATAATATATATAAAGCTTTTCACCTACTACTTACATGTTTATATAAAGTTCTATTTCCTTAGTCTTACACAAGGAAAAAACAAAACGAAACAGAGAAGAGGTTGGATTTCAAGTAGTATCCTGTTCTATCAACAAAATGGCAAGACAGTTTTGTAAACTTACTGAAACTACAACACCTATAGTAAAACTTGTGAAAGAGGTAGGAATGTCAAACATCACGATTTCTGATTCTCAAAAGTTTCCCTGAACTGGCTTATGTCTGTGCCAGTTACGTACGTCTGAGCGCATCTTCAGCAGAGGTTAACCAGAAGGAAGTTACTCTCTGAATCAAGAAAGGACGCTCGCCCTCCCTGAAAGTCAGAGCGTCGA